AACTGTTACGTATGTTGTCATTTGTCACTAATTTCTCACCGTCATTTACAGAACAATTCATATATATATATTATTTTAGAATATATAGTAAAACCTTGTTAAAAGGAACTTGGTTCATAGAGAATCTTTGGTGCTAAAAAGAATATTTTATTTACTTGCACAAAAGAGGTATGGTAATGACAAAATGTTTATTACAAGGTATGGTCAACATTTTTTTTGTCAATGATTAATTTGTTAGATGCAAATCTAAATACTATAACACAGCAATTAATTTACAGGTTATAAAATAAAGTGACCCACAAGTAAATATAAATACTGTTAAATATATAAATGTGTGATGAAACCGAATCTGCAATTATGAATGTATAAGGGGTGGGCCTTCTTGGCCCTTGCACCACGACCACAGAATCTGCAATTAAGTCATTGTGTAAGAAATATATTATTCAAAAAGTCTGCAAATTTTAAATACCTGACAACAAATATAGAAACAAATATGAGCTTCACAATGAATTTAAAACAAGACCAATTAAGGCAGTGCTTGTTATCAAATTTAGACACCCAATTTTTGGGAAACAGATTGTGAGAAGATTGGAAATAGATTTGGAAGAAATCGTGTTCAAAGGCAGCTTCAGTATTAGTAATATGGAACCTCCAGGTTCTGTTTCTGCATAGTGAGTTGTGGTCTACATCAAACAAAGGCCATGTGAAGATGGTATTACCAAACTCTGTCCTGATGGACAGTTGGGAATCACATGTGAATTTTTTAAAATTCCACATCTGAAACATACTTATGAAATCCACATGCAGGATATGTATTACAATATCTGTAATCATTTCTGCAGAGAATCTGGCAAGTAGTTCAAATCATGCAGATGTTACATAAAACTGAGCCAACAGCCTTACATTATTTTCCAAGCATTTCCAATTTTTTAGTCAGTGTTTTAACGATTTGATTAAATTTCCCACATCCAAACAGTATGCCTGATGGCACATAGCTAAGTCATTAGCATCACACTCTGTAGCAAGTTTTTATTTTTCTTTCCTTTAGGGGAGAGATTAGGCAACCACCCCCATCCCTGGTAACAAAACCAGGGTGTGACCAATGTTCAGAGCTGATTATTCATATAAATACAGTATCAATTTTCACAATTGGTAGAGTGCTGTTTAATGTCATTCTTAGTTATACTTCCATGTAACTGTACAGTAATATGGGAAGCATGTATTTCACTGACACAGTAAAGATTCAGTATTTAAGTTACACGTAAGGATCCACTATCGTATATTAAAATAATTTTCAATGAAGAGACAAGATGCATTATCAATTTGAACACAACTTTTTAACGCCATTCAAATTCTGACTGACATGTTACTATCTTGTGGAAGCAATCAGTTACTTTCATTCACTGAACTGCAGAAAATTTACTATTACCATGGCATTCCAAAATAATGTAATATTAAAAGTGTTTTTCAAACTGTCACTGGGTTGAAGCTCATGTAAAATCAGTTAATATAGATGAACATTAGTGCACTTTTTATAAATAATCACTAACATTTTAATTTTACATTTCAGTGGAGAAATAGAAAATTCAGTGAACTCCAAAATTTCTAGTATCCAAGCATCCAGAATTCTCATGCAAATGGCAAATATTTCAAAGAAAATTTGCCATTTTTGTAAAGTTACTTAGTTAAACATATGTTCACCCACTACATGGCCTCCCTGCTATCATTATCTGTACTGCCCATTGTCTTCCCTCGTGTAGGTGCCATTACAGTACAGGCTAGTTGAATATGTGATTGCACTGCAGTGTATCTGAAAATTTTCATCTGCAAACAACCTTGTTGGTTACAGAGACATCCATGCAAGAACGAAAGCAAGAATGTGTTTTGACTCAAGAGTTTTTCACATGCAATCAGCAGCCATTAACTGGCACACCCAGTAATCCAGACATGCCAAATAACTTTGAATTTACTGTATAAATCTGAATTGCATAATTCTGTGGTACAGCATCCTACTGAGGTACACTGAACTTCGCAGTTAAATTATATGGTATACTCCTGTGATCTGTACATGGAATATGCAATTCATGGCTTATTCATTCATCTTTTAGCTGTATTTGCAACCTGAGCACCTATTATATTTGCTCAATACATCCGTCTGTAGCCATGAAACAACTTTAAATCCACTGAACACATTTTCTTGAAATCTGAGTTTGGAGAACTTTGAAAGAACTGCTCACTTTACATTTAAACTGGACAATTTTAGCGACCTCTTTGCATGAAGATCTACACGTGTTTCTGCATTTATCTTCAGTAAAAATCCTTAAATATTTATCAGAGTTAGAATGTTTCACATAAAAGTTAATTTTCATTTTCAACAATACCTACGAGTATGGTCTCCTGTTCACATCCAGAACTTGTTTTTCTTATTACTTGTACACCTTGTAAGGACAATTGAAAGTATAATATACTTCTCTCGCACGTAACATAAAGTGTTACTATTTGAAAACAATAATGATAAACTTATATTTTTCACAATAACATTCCAAATATATACATGAACTACATGTTACAACTATGAACCTGAATGATGAATGTCAAAACATATAGTTCACATATATACATATTATTTTAAATAAAACTGAAATTGCAATTTTAATGACTAGTACTTTTAAATAGTACAGTTCACAAAATTTGTCTGTAAATCATCTGTCATTGCATGCCATATAATGTTACAGTTAGGCATAAAGTATTACACCATGACTGCCTATCAGCAGGATCCTGTTAGCAGTTGTGTAAGATGCACACGATTCAAGGGGGACAGGCCGCCAAATAAATCAGAGACGAGACTGCTGAACTCCATAAAAATGTTACGGGCAGTAAAATTTTATTTCTTTAAAATAGTTTTATACAAATATATTATACATATTTATGAATAAAAAGGTTTTTATAATCAAATTTACTGAACAATAAGAAAACAAATTGCTATTGTTTATAACCAAATATTTAATTGAATTTTCCTAATGGGAAGAATGACAGTACTGCCTGTCAACTGTGCGATGCATCCATTCAGTGTTTAATACTCACTGTGTGTGTGTGCGCATGTAATAACATTCTTGAAAGTTTAAATTATTCCTCAAATCAACTTTCTCTGTTACTAAAAGAAAGCCAACAAAGTGAAAAATATGTCATACAAATGAAAATTCAGATTTAAGTGTGAGTCTGTGATTGCCAAGTATTAAGAATGCTGAATTCTAGAAAGAATATCGCCTTGAGTTCAACTCTGTCTCAGTCACATTCCAGGAAAAGAAAAGTGTGTTAAGGCCGTTCAAAGAGAGTTACTTGAAATAACATTTCATCAAATTTCAAAAATACAAATGCTAAGCCTCAATATATTATTTGTAATGAAATACAAGCTTAAAATTACAAAATTAAAAATGCCTTCAGAAAGAAGCATGCTGAGCTTATTGATACTGTAAAATATTCTCAAAAAAAAAAGAAACAAGATTTTAAGTTGGAGAAATTTCTTTGCCTTTCTGTTACTGATGATAAAGCCCTGTTGTCATCCTATCAAGCTGTATATCATATGGCAAAAGAGAAAATGGTACATATAATTACTGGAAACATTCTTCCAAACTGATGAGAGCTTGATATTTTCATACTGCATAACACTTTCAGTTTATGTGAGATGTGTGCTGCTTACATTTAGTTCCAACATAACTGAACTACTTATATGCACAGCACTGGAAGAGTGCACAGCTGGAGAACTGAATTGAGGTAAGTGTAGAGGAGTGAGAGTGCTGCAATTACAACAGGAAGACACTGTGGAGAGTTAAAAGATTATGCAGGCAATTGATAATTCTGCTATTTGTTATCACTGTTTCATCCACTGTGAAACTTTGGCACCAAAGAATATTCCCCCAGTATTATGGAAGTACTGAAGGTAGGAATAAAATCATTAATTTTATTAGATGAAGACCTCTGAATAACTGGCAAAAATGTAAAATGATTCCAGTAATTAATTATGTAAGTAAGAACTATGCCATGGGGACATATGGGGAGTGGAGGTATAGCTCCTGAATATCTTCAAAGATTTTGTTCAGAGATATTACTGATGACAAACATTTACTTTACCACACCAAAACATCAGCAAAAAAAAATTTTAATTTGCTTAGTGGGAGGTGGAATCCAGCTGGGTCCACTCAGCACGGTGGCCACTGATTGGCCTACTGTACCTGCCATGGGTGATTATGATGATAGAGAATTTCATGGAGTGAAGATTGGCAGGGGGAACCAAAGTACTTTGAGAAAACCTGCCCCACCGCCACTTTGTCCACCACAAATCCCACTTGACCAGAGCCGGGATTGAACCCAGGCTGCTGTGGTGGGAAACCAGCGACTAACCGCTTGAGCTATCGTGCGGCCATCAGAAAACATCAGTAATAACCAGAATGAACATTTTTCTGTTTGAAAAAGCTCTAATTTAGCAGACAATTTTTCTGACAACAGTTGAACAATAAATTTCGTATATTTTAGCTGACACTTTCTGAATCCTAATAAATTTAATTTCAGATTACAAGAAAAAAGATAGCGCAAAGACAATCCGCATACATTCTCATATGCACATTTTGGCTGTAATGAGGCACACCACTATTTTGATCAAGATACCATATACACAGTTTCGTTTGGGGAGATGGTCTCCATAAATTACTGACATTTAATCAGAATTGCAATTTTGTGTTTTCAGGTACCTGTGAAGGGTCTTATTTTTTTGAAGCTATAATGAAATATTAAACACAGAATATAAATAAAGTCTTTACTATAGGATTCTGACGATGGTGTATAACACACTGATATATTGGGTTTTTGGACTTTAGCCATCGTCCTGGTTTTTAAGATAACTAATAGAAACAGTGATTGAGGCTAGCTCTCTCTAACAGACCCAATAGAATAGGTGTTTTCCTTCACCTGAGGACGGAAACAGATCCAGTTTCTGAAACGTCGTGTTTTTATTAGTTATCTTAAAAACCAGGACGATGGCTAAAGTCCAAAAACCCAATATATCAGTGTATAAATAAAGTCTGTCCAACGGTTCTGCTTCTAAAAAGCTACACACACACACACATACTTTTTTTTTCCAAGTATTTCTTTATATATATATTGTATATAAATATACAATGTTTGAGTTTATTTTGTTAAGTATGGGATAAGGTATGTTAAGCATTGTAGTTATGGATTATTTAGAAAAAGATAAAAAATACCACTGCAGCACAGAATGGAAGACGACAGTGCGACACCACCCGATAGTCACTTATCCCTACCCATTACCCTAGATGAGTGTGAAGACCTGCTCTTCATGAAGCGTCCATGTGCAAGGCATCGGGTATTAACTGAACTAAGGGATAAATTATCCATTACTAAGACAATATATGAAGCATGCCCTGACACTTAGGCACCTGGAGTCTTGGGTAAGGAGAGAGGAGGTTACTCCACCAAATATTATGGATGTCCTCAATAGTGCATCATTAGCTACCAACTGTGAGGTGAATCTCACAACCAGAGGATCAGGGACATTCCAACCAACATGGGATACTACCAACACCTCAACTCTCACAAGTTTGTTTTTTCTTAAATACAAGGCTGATCATATCAAGACCCATATTAGGTTGAATTATCAACAGATAATACTTCAGGTGAGGGAACTACATTGGACTGCAAATGTCTGTGTGCATGAGCGTCCAAGACACGGTCCATCATTTGCACCCACAACACTGGTCTTAGGGGTACTTGATTCACTTCAGTGGAGATTTTCTGCCTGCTTATATAGGGGATATCACCCAGAAGTATCACTTCCCTGTTATCACCGTTGTTCTGCAAGATAGATGGGATTCTGTTACAACTTGGGGCAACATATGGTGAAGACTTTTTTTCATTATTGAACTCTTGGCATGCTCTTGCAACTGGTCATATAATTAGTGATGCGACAGATCTAGGGTTTCATGATCACAGTACTTTCTCATATCATGTACACATGTCCCTCATTTTATGAAGACTCAATATGCAAATTTTTGCTACAACAATGCATGTTAATTCATATTTGTTTTTCACTTAACAAATTTCATTTCTTCTATAACGAATAACCTGTCTGTAAAAGTTTTTATTCCCTTTTTTAACACGAGCAGAGAAATACATAACGTAACATGTGGGGAGAATCAGATATCCCACCTTCCTAGTATATCCGCACACATTGCTATTGATCCATGGTTGTGACTGTAAAGAATCAGCTGTGCTCTTGGTGCTCAAATTTTATCCATAAATATATGTTATTTATATCCATCATGACTCCAAAATAAGTTAAAATGGTTGTAAGAGGTGCTGATATGCCAAAGGAACTGAGGACAGCAATAAGCTCGGCTACAAGATGAACTGCATCAGCTCTGTGGAAATAAGTGTCAATAAAATAATACAGTTTTATTTGCAACAAGATTATTATATTAGTCCTTACTTTAATGTTTATTTACTAATTAAACATGTTAAAAATATTTGGGCAATTTTCTGGGAACTATGGCTGAGTCAGTGATTTCTACATGAAAGTAAAGCGAATATAATTTTTGATTTATGAATTTTACTGTACAGTTTTCACAGAACAAATTACCTTTGTAAACTGAGGGATACCTGTTTATGAGAGTAAAAACTATGTATATCATGATGAAATATTCAAAGATAAAAAAAAAAAAAATAAAGTTATGACAGCACAATGTAAAACTAGCAGAGCTAATATATGCCCCGATCATCACTGCAGCATTCTGAGGAAACTGATATTAACAAGAAGTGCTTGAAATAAAATCTTACATACAAATACTTCATATTATTTTGAAATATTCAGTGACTGCTTTCCAGATGAGAGATGTGAAATTACTAAGAAAAGTGTCTGCACAATAAATCCTTTTGCTTTTAAAATTCTTGAATTAATTTTGCAATTGACCATGGTACCAGGAGGAGGAAATGAACAGTTGTAACTTAATTTTCTATACACAGAAAAAAAAAACGATCACAAGACATCAAATTTATCATTTTGGATCAGGATTCGGAAAGAATTCCCACTGCTATGTAACAAGAATGTGTTATTACTACTGCAATTTGAAATAACCTGTATGTTAGACGTATGATCTTTGTTGCCAACATGATATAGGGCAGAATGGTCACACCACATATTCAACAACAGGCAGGTACATTTGTTGCATGAAGTAAATAAACAGCTTTAATCAACCACTATCTATGTGTTCATGGTATTTATTTCCCCCTCAGAGCCTACCATATTATGTTACTATCATTTCTCATTCATTCCTTGTGTGTATGCATGTGAAGGAGTCTGGGTGTGTGCATTTATATACCGTAGGTACACAGCCACAGGGGTCCAGTTAGTGACTCCTTGATTTTATGAAGCTACATTTTACTAACTGGCGCACGTGGTAGCGTAGTGGTTGAGGCACTATGCTACAAGCCGGAAGGTTGCTACACTACCACGTGCACCCATAGTTTTGCCTAAATGGTCAGATTTGTAAGCATACAAACTGTGGCTCCCTCAGGAAACAAATTTTGCTACTTTTGTTCTGGACTGACTAGCAAAGGACACAGATTACCTTCAATCAATATTTTCACTGATGAACTAATTGTCATGCCAGCAATGTAACAAACATGCATAGGGGTAGCTTTACTTTTTACTTACTTTAACTGCAACATATGGGTAACTAAGAATCACAGAGATGCTATTCTGCATGTTCATGACTTAGAAAATAGAAATGTTTAATGCAGCCTACTATACTCATATAACAGTTATAAGCAGGGCACTGATTTTGATGACATGTCATCTTTTTTTCCTTTTATCCTATGCAATGCTCTTAAATATATAAATCTCGGATATGAGCTGCTGGTTACAGAAATGTAAATTTTATAGGTAATGTTTTGTCATTTTTAGGTTTAAGGTAATTTTTTGGACTTTTAAGGGTATTTCTTGTCATTTTTGGCCATTTTAGGGAATTTTTCTTCACATGTTTTCTGAAATGTGAATAATATGGAAGCGAAGTGTTCTTTCTTTTCTCCTTTAGGTCATTTTTCTGGATTTTTTTGGTCATTTTATAGGTCATTTTTTTAATATTTTCAGGTCATCAAAATCCGGGCCCCGCATATTACATTTTTGGGTCATATTTTAGGTCATTTTTCTGGTTTTTGTTCGGTCATTTTATAGGCCATTCTTTAAATATTTTCAGGTCATCCAAATCCGGGCCCTGGTTATAAGACTCCTCTTTTCCACAAAGGCCACTGTTAATGGTAGCACATACCTCAGTATACTTCACAACTATGTATTCCTGCAAATGGAGACATGAAGAGTTAAAAATATTCAACATGACAATGCTCCTCTCCACTATGGTAATATTGTTCATGATGTGCTTGACATGAGATTCCCTGATCAAGAAGGCCTCATCTCTTGGCCTCGAAGTCACCCAATTTGACGGCACTCTTTTATTTTTAACATCGATCACCACAACCACTACTATGGTCACACCAGAGATGCTGAACGGTGTGTGGAATGAAACCGAGTTTCAGTTGGACATCTATAGTTGGGAATTTTACAATAACAAATTTCCAACATATGTGGATAATTTTTTTGTTTAATATTTCTGAGTATTTTTATTAGTTAATAAACTGTAGCCTTGAAAAATCTAAATGTCACTAACTGAATGTGTGTGTGTTTATATAAAAATGCATGCGCGCGCACACAAAATTCCACCTTCTTGCTATGGGTCAAGGTGAAAAATGTGTATTTTTTGGTGGGTGTCATGCAAAAAGTTTGAAAACTCTGCTCTTAAAGGTCCATGGCACTGGTTGAAATGCATTACACCAATATTATGTTGCGAATTATCTATTATCTGAGGTATATTTATATACACAGTATTTTGAAAGTTGGCTCCGCTCCAATTTTCTGGCGTTTGGTTGTAACTTACCGAGCGATTTATATATATAATACATACATGTATTTTACTTGAAAATCAGTGGAGGTAGGTGGAGCTGAACCAATGACCTTTTGAATACCAGGCTAGTACATTAATCACACAAAAATCAAAATGCAAACATTTCTCCATTCTTACTGCCTAGTGATTGAAGATTCAGACAGACATGGTGCTAGTCACTGTCATAATTCATAATAAGCTTTTTCCTGTTAATGAATGAACACATGAACACACACAAAGGCTATGTGTTTTAATGCTATGATATAAAGATCAGAACTATGATAATGGTGCTATTAATTACGGTACTTCAACATAAATCAGAATTGTATTTTGGCTCACGTAGAACTATTCTGACCAAGCATGACATGAAATCTTATGGGCTTAAACAGATGTATGAGAACATGAACTGGAGTCTATCTAACAGCTCACTCAAGAAATTTTCACCTTTTACAGAATCTGAAAGTTTATTATTGCATTCACAACAGGCTGATACTGAATCCTACCCTGAGTCAGATGAATCCACCTATATACCCACCCACACCATTTACGATATATTTTAGTTTTATCCTTCCATCTATGCCTAGGTCTTCAAAGTTAGTTCTTTCCTTCAGGTATTACAACAAAATTTTGTATAAATTTGTCATCATATCCATCTGTGCAATACTGCAGTAGCCATATCATGATGACGTGATTCCAAACATTTTTTAAAGCCTTTACAACCATCTGCAAATCCGTTGCATATCAAATAATACATATGTAACACTGTAAATTAAAAAAATATATAAATCCGTTCATTGTCCATTCTTTAAAAAAATCCTGGTTACTACAATTTCAATTTTACCACTCTTCAGTTATGTATACATTAAGAAAAAAATTGCTTTCTAGGTACATATAACTATTGTGTAAGTTTGTCTGAACTTTATAAAGTCAAGTCCTCTCTTTCATACCTTGCCAAAAGGAGGTACAGTGAATTAAACCAGACATATTTGTTGTGATTCAATTGTTTCCATAAGTGACAACCTGGCAATAAAAAAGTACTGGCTCTTGCACTTGTGGAAAATGAAGAATCAATACAAGGTTAAATGAACTGTAATATTACTTCTTGTACTTGCTGCTCTTTAACCCCTCAAGCCGGTATCCCAAGTATGTCCTTGCCAGCCTGTGAGGCTATGTAGAGCCAGTAGAGGTTTAAATGCATGCCTGAGGGGTTAAAGCAAACTAATAATCAACTGTAAAGGTTAGAGAGTAACTTCAGTGCTTTGCTAATGTAGTGTTACTTACCAAGAAGTTGTAATGCCTGTTATATTACCATACATGTCCAGCAGTACTGTCAGGGTAAGAAGAGAATCTTTATGAAAACCAACAAATATGAAACCAATTCCACTGAAATGGAGCAATAAGTCACTGTTAGCTCCACCCTTACTACCCACTATCATGCAGAATGCAACCGCCTATAGGTTTCGAGCAATTCATTAGCAGCTACTGTTGTTGGTGCACAGAGGTAGGCTGTGGCAGCAGAAGAAGACACCTGAATCATGGCTGCCGTAGCAGAGTTACTTCCAGCAGGAGTCCCAGCATTTGGTTGTGTTGTCACATGTTGCAAGATGCTTGGTGTGAGAAGAGCAGTGTTGTTAATTGTTGTCAGTGGAACATTATTGTGACTAAGAGCTCCAGTCACATGGGCTTCACTAGTACCAACATCCTCCACTTTGACTTGATTACTCTGCGACTGTCCAAGATTTGGTGTATTTGTTGCAGCCTGCCCACCCTGTAACTGCTGCTGGTTCTTATTTCGATGTCTCTGTTTGTGTGTAATAAGATACTGCTTCATTGCAAATCCCTTATTGCAAATGTCACATTTGTATGGGAGGGGATTTTCAGCTGTTACAGTGCCACCATTACCTTCACCAGTTCCATCGCTGTTTGCCATGGACGAGCCAGGAGTGGCATGACTTCCTCGATGCATCAGGTAATAGTGTTTCACAACGAAAGACTTACCACATGTTTCACAAATATATGGCCCAGCTATACCATGAGTTTTGCGATGTTTGTGTAAATTGTCCTTTCGACTAAAAGTTTTTCCACATAGGTCACAACCGTGCATCTTCTGTCCCGTGTGTGATACAGCATGTCGGACCAGATGTTCTTTGCGACTGAATGCCTTACCGCATGACACACATACATACGGCCTTTCACCAGTGTGCAGTTTCCTGTGTTGAAATAGATGCTCTTTTCTCTTGAATGGCTTACCACAGATCTCGCAACCAAAGCTACCACCACTGCCTGCCGTATTTCCAGTGTTCCTGTCTGCAACAGTGTTCTCTGATTCATGATTTGTCGTGCAATTACAAGGTGAATGTGAATGAAGTTCTTCAAGGGAAGCAAAAATTTTGCCACAACGTTCACAATGCCGAGGAGTATTTGGAGCTGCAGCAACTTCAACTAGTGTTGCTGTAGGACCAGAAGTCCCATCGATGATATTAACACTCTTCATACGCAGAAATTCGCCAATCTGAGCTATTGAGGATCTATGGAAAAGAAGAACACAATATATATTTTAACAATTCAATATGAGAGTTATGACTTCAAAATAAGTGCCACCTGAATCTCTCCTGACATAGTTGGCAACACTGCCCTAAGCAAAATCAATGAGCCTGACTTTAAGGGAACAGTTCTTCCTTCATGAATCCCCAAAGGAAGAAGTCACGTGCATTAATGTCCATGCTACTGAGTGCCAGACATTCCTGCATCAGGATTATGATCAGAAATCACACTTGGTTGAAAGGTGTTATTTGGAGAAAGTCCAATGGTTGCCAGTGTGTGGGTATAGCACTATTCTGCATAAACCACAAGAAAGTCTGTGGCTTGAGTCGACAAGCAAACTACACCAACCAAGCAACTACCGCTTGTCGGTGAAGTTACTGTCAACTTCAGCAGGTAGAGGGTTTCGCGTGGTCAGTGAAATGAATCCCCACAGCTGCTAATTTCGGTTTTCTATACCGGAGCCACTATTTCCTTGAAATAGTTCCTGAATTATCCTCACAAGGCTGAGTGAACCCTGTTCCAGACTTAATACTTCTCAGAAAATCTGGTAGCACCGGGAATCAAACTAGGGACCTCTGGATCTGCAGCCAGGAACTCTGACCACTAGACCACAGAGGCGTAAAACACTGTTTGTTTAAATTAGGCACAACAAATTCAGGCATAAAACTCTGACAGCAATGCACACCTTCTTGACAGCAACATGGTAATTAGTATGTGCCCCTTAGCAAACTTGCCATTTCAAAACCAGGAGACATTGGGGGATCATTTATGTACCACTCTGTAGTAGGCTAGCACAAAAAGCAATAAAATAATAAAACAGAAAGCTGCAATGATGTGACGTGGTTTTCTGGCTGTCAACAAAACAAATTTTTTTCAAACAAAACTAACCAAATACCACTGTACTGCTATTGGTTTTATTTTAGCATCTGCTACATGTTTCAATCCATGTTTGGACCATCATCATGCAATTTCTTAAATATGTCACTTGTTACTGAATTTTCCTAATATGAATCCATATTAGTATTATTTTTAAAATCCACTGAATTCTGTATCTCATCATAACACATGTTGGTATTTTGATATTACAGTTAACCTAAAGGTTAAAATTATTTATAGTATTTGTGTCTCAATGATATGACGTGGGTTTCAGTGATGCTTGTCGTATGTTAGAAAATGATGTCTTCTGGATTTTACTGTTAATGTTTGTTTTATCTGAAAGCAATTTAATGTGTATTATCATAATGAGTTATGAGTAATATGTAATTACACTGCATAATGTGGATGATTACTAGCATACTACTGTTGTTATTAGTTCTATATGTATTTCTTTCTGATTTTTGTATGTAGACTCATGACTGTATGTAGACCGTAATGAGAGTGGGTACTTACACTTATGTTTGGGGCTGAAACTGTTAATTGTAATGAATGCCCACTAAGGTACCTTGGACAAACGGGGCACAAATTTAAAACCCAATATAAGGAACATATCCAATTCATAAGAATAAACAAACAAACCTCAAAATATGCCCAACAGCTACCTGACATAAGAAACAGTACTAGTTAATTTTCTTTCAGATGAAACGAACATTGACAATCAATCCCAGAAGACATTATCACCCTCTAATATATTACAAGCATCACGGAAACCCACATCATATAGACAAGATGAGGAATTTGATGATACAGTGCTACTCTACACTATGGGTGACAAGGCCTGATGCCATCTTGCACTAGCTCTAACAGGCAGAAGTGGGGCACATGGTCACCTGCCACGCAGTGCAGTGCTGCCACCAATAGTCCACAGAGAGTTTATTTCTATGGCGCCCATATATTCAGGGAAAAATAAAGTCCAAGTTAACTCTGAACCACCTTCACATTACTGAAACAGATGGGCGAGCTATAACCAATTAAGTAGGGGGTTCTGAAGCTCTGTGGCAAAAAATAAAAAAATTAGGGGGGGGGGG